ATAATAGCTCGCTATATTGCCAAAAAGTAGAGATGTTATACGGAATCATATCTTATTGGTTCATTATAGTACGTAAATTGTTTTATTGTTGATGGCGAACTTTGTAATTGGACCTTATCTACATGAAAATTTTAACTATTTTTTTAATTGATCCGATTAAATTAACAGAAAAATAATTAAGTTGTAGTTTTAAAACAGTGTTTATTACATAGATGCAATGTATTGTTTGTAGTGTAAAATAATTACATTTTATTTTTTATTATATAATCCGAGTTCGTTCCTCAGCAAGGTACGTCTAAAGCCAATATTTCCATGCCATCCTTATCGAGATGCGATGAGTTGCCATCAGTTAGATCAAGAACAGTAGGTAATTACATAATGTCTTCAATACATTCAGAGTAAAGCGACGTAGACCTCAGTGATGACGATCCCACTTACAAACAAGAACATTTTCGTCGACGTCCACGGATCACAGCAACTCTAACTTCGATTGATACAAACAATGTAACTATGACAAATCATAACATTCAAAGACAATCCAGAAAACGTAAAGCAGATTCAACCAAATAGATACAAAACACGCAAAAAATGAAACGAAACTTGGGTCAAAGCTATGTAGCTATAAATTCGAAGAAATTGGTTCCTGCACGTAATATGAAACCACCTTGTGTCCAAAAATGTAGATTAAAATGCAGTGAGCGAATCGATGATTCCAAAAGGTTGAAATTATTTAGTGCATTTTGGGCATTAGGGGATAGACAATTACAAGGAATGTATGTTTTGTCTAATAGCGCACAGATTACACCTAGGTACAAGTATACCAATGCCGAAAAACCACGAAATCCAAACCATGCATTCTATTTTTCCGTAGACAACGAAAGAGTTAGGGTATGCAAAAGCTTTTTTATTAATACTATTGATATTTCTCATAAGATGATTCGAAATGTACATGAAGATAATAGAAAAACTGGGCTTCATAAAGGATGACCAACGCGGCAAACACAATAGTCATAAAAGTGTAAGTGATGAGCTTATAAATGACATCACCAACTTCATCAACCCTATACCCCGCATTGAGTCACATTATCTAAGAGCATCTACCTCTAGAGAGTACATCAGCAGTGGTAAAAGTATTGCAGAGCTCTTTAGAGATTTTGAAGTACTGCAAGAGGAACGGTCTCGCCCGGTTGGACTATATCACACGTTTTATGAAATTTTTAACACAAAATTTAACCTTGGCTTTTATCAAACCAAAAAAGATCAATGCGATCTTTGCCTGCAGTTCCAAAATCCTACTGAACCACTAAAACAGAATCTTAGGGATCAATATCATACGCATTTGGAAGAAAAGAAGTTATGCAGGGAGGAAAAAAAGAATGACAGAAAGAACATTGATGAATACAATATTTGTGTATGTTACGATGTACAAGCCATTATGCAAAGTCCTAACGGTGAAACATCAGCATTCTACTACAAATCTAAATTAAATAGTTACAATTTCACTATGACGGAATTAAAAAAAATTCACGAAAACGATGTGTCAACAATGGACAATGGACAAAGGCTATGAAAATGTCCATTGTTATTTTTGGGACGAGACTCAAGCGAAAAGAGGCGCTACAGAGATAGGGAGCTGTGTTTTCCATTATTTACAGATTGTGTCTGATAAAGCTGGTGACAGGGAAGTAAATATAACATTTTTTTCCGATAACTGTTGTGGCAAAACAAAAATAAATATCTCACATGCTTATACTTATACGCTGTTGCCAATCTAAAAAATTTGTCGTCGATAACTCACAAATATCTCATAAAAGGGCACACTCAGAACGAAGCTGATAACGTGCATAGTTTGATACAAAAGCAGATAGCTAGAGATAGGAAAACTGGCCCAATATACTCTCCTGTTCAATAAATCTCAGCAATCAAAAGAGCAAGGAAAACTGGTGCTCCATTTATAGTTCACAGTTTAACTTACAATGTTTTTTACGATCTTCAGAAATTACAAGAAAATTGGGGCTATAATTTTAATACAGATGAACAGAAAAATAATCTTGTATGGAATAGTATTAAAGTACTGAAATTTACCAAAGAAGACCCATTTTCGTTTTATTACAAGTGCTCATATAACGATGAGTTTAAAATAGTTAATGTTCGTGATAAGAGGAAGAGAATGCCAAATATTAAAGAAATGACCATGCATAAAGCGTACCTCCAGGCACTTCCACTTCGTTGTGCTAAAAAGAATGATCTTAAGGATCTTATTAATAAACAATTGATAGATCCATACTATGCGTCTTATTATAACATGTTGTCTTAATATTACTAATCTTTGGGATTTTAACATTATTTTGTGTAGACTGAGTACATAGTCAAAGTACAATAATTAAGTTTTGAGACTGAATTTTATTTTTGAAGACTTTATTTTTTAGAATGAATTTTTTTGTTATGTGCAGTTTTCTAAGTTTAGAATGGAGGAATGAATGTTTTTTTGTTATGTATAATTTTTTAAGTTTAGTGTGGAGATATTGTGATATACAATTAAGTAATAAGTAAACGACAATGTAAAACTTGAGGAGTTACTACTTGTAAGTTTTATTTGGAATTAAAAAGTTTAACTAATAAATGTGATATTATTAAAGCTATCTTAATATGTTTAACTCTTGTTTTGAATTTTTTTTTAGATTATTGTTATATTTTGCACTGCTTAATAAAGTATTACTATTATTTTACCTGATATTTTATTTATAAAACAGAAACAATAAATTCAAACATCGGTTGGGATTGGTGATATAGAGTACCATTTACCATTAAAAATTAAACAGTGGCAGGTACACTAATAATATAAGGGATCAAACTTTAATAGTTCCTTATTTCTGTTATGGTTTTTTATACTATACGGGACTAACTCGAAAGTAGTTTTTTCCATTCCTTGTAATTAATAGAATTTATTTATATTATTATTTTTTCCTCATTGTAATTTTTAGTGCAATTATCAAATAACAAATCTGCCAAATTTCATATTTATAACTTAAATAATAAGCACGTTATTTGAAAAAATAGCTGTAATGTCGGATACCAGAATCTTTAAACGCGATTTCCCACAAATCTACTTTTTTGAATTGTGCCTCTATATTACTGAGGGTGCGATATGAGTGAAATCATACTCGAGGCACATTTAGAGTTAAGCCTCTATTAGATACAGGCAAATTGAAATTTTAAACGCGTACGTATGTTTGTTAATTCAGCAACTAGACAACTGCATTTAGATTCACCAGTAAATAGAAAATAGAGAAAAAATTCTTTACTTCATTCAGATTTCTAATAGCCGTCACGTCATGTACGGATGGCTCATTTTTAAATGATTTCAGGTTAAATGAAATAGCGGTATTGTATGTTTTCTGATACTGTAGTTCGATCTGTTTATCAGTACGCGTGAGACCAATTTTATTTATAAAGTATTTTTTGAAGATGTCAAACCACAGTGACAGTTTTAGAAACTTTTGACTTGGTGCAATTGTAGCATTTTTATTTCCATCCTGTATAAGGTTTTAATTTAATTTGCTTCTTACAAATTATATTCGAAAGAGAAATATTTGAAACACAAAAATAAAATTGTTTATTTACATTGAAAATCACCGAGAAGCAAAATTAAATCAAATTGCCGGCTGGGAGGTTTATAATAAATGTATAATAATAATTATACAGGGAAATCTTTATCGATGAGTGAGAATAAGGCATAGAGTCGTGGTCTAGCAGCCAGCTAGCGAGGTGGTATTAGAATTTTGTCCCGGTGCGGCGACGCTAGTAACGATGCCACTATGATGCAAGGGTGCACCGTTGTATAATATCAAAGAATATAGACATATGGTCGTATAAGATAGCGAAAGATTATCGTTTTAGACCATGAGGGAATCAGATCGAATACAAGAGTCCGGTGTTGCCAGAACCCCGGTACATGCGATATTTGGTTGCTTGAATTCACCTTTTCCGATAAAGCGTAACTTTAGAGGTTTCTGTGATTTTATTTTTGAGAAATCTATAATGGTTTCCTTAATTTCCGATTGATCTGTTGGGCATAAGAGATAAAGCATGTCCAGCTGCCTGCTTATGGGATTGGAGGTGAAGCAGTGTCCGTAATTCTTTAACTTGTTCGCTAGAAACCAGTTCCTCCAGTTATTTTTTTTTAAGAACCCAAACAGTCGGCAGTCAAAGTGTGTATAGTGAAAGAAAGAAAAAATCACTGTAAGTTAAGACTGTCCCCTTACCATTGTGAATTAAATCCCATAGAATATATTTGGGGAATATGCAAAACTTACTACGATAACTATATTGGATGTAACGGCTACAAGGACGCAGCAGTTTTGGAACCATGACAAGAAGCATTGAATACTGCTACTCCTGCAATTTGGGAAAAGATTATGTGAAAATGTGAAAAGTTAATAGAAGAGTGTTGTATTTGTGAAAATCGCATCGAAGCTGTTAACCCAATCATCCTTTATAATCCAAATGAAGATGCCGACCACAGTGATTACGAGTCTGGATCTAATTCTTAATTATACTGTAAGGTAATATGTTTTCATTTTCTCATTAATAAAAATTTTGACTGTTTTGTAATTTTCTTTTATTTTTTCACTAATAATTTTATATTTCTCTAAATGAATGTAAAATACATTATTAGTCAAAACCGTATTTTTGCTTGTCTAGGACAGTGCAAACCACTTGAAAACATTTAAGTAAATTCATTGAAGACCTCTTTATAAAGGAAAGAAGGGAAGGAAACTAGAAAAGTTGTAGATAAATACATCAAAAAGAGTTGTTGTGGACGATAAGAATACAGAAAGATTTCTACTTGGAAGAATACGTTTTAACCAATCTGGTAGTACTATTTTATCAATGAAACTTTGAGGTGATCATCAAAAGTTTTGTTACAAAACTATTCAATTTTTATGGTGAAATGTCTTACTACTAAATATAAAATAAGAAATGTTGTACAAACTTACCTAAAGTCGAGGCTCAAATTTCTCTGATGGTTGCTCAATCTCGTTTTGATGTTGAGCGAACTGTTAGGCCTGCCATGAACCGATGGTACACTATCCCTATAGCTGGTCAATTTCTGGCGTTTTAAATGCGTCGTTACATTGGGCTGCTGCTGCTGTTGCACCAGCCCTCCGGCGGGAGACACTCCATTCATCGTTACCTCTATCTCTACCTCCTCATTTTAACGACGGGTCTTTTGTTGCACGCACATTGATGGTTTGTTGGGTACGTTGAAACGTTTTTGAGCTGGAAAGAACAAAACTTCGACTTAATAATTTTATATATGCGAATTTTTTGTATGTCATGAGAATTTTAGAAACTATAGACGAGAACAATAACTCTAAGCTTAAATTAAAAAAAACTGACAACTAAGTAATGTGACAGAATGACGTTCCATAAAATATAGGCTACACTGGCGTCGAAATGCTGTCATTATTTTTAAGATATATAGACTATATTATTTTAGGTTATAAGCAAAACAAACCCGATCTCACTAATAGTTCAAAGTTAACAGCTTTGTAGCTACTTCCTCTTCCAATTCACAATTACTTAAGTACTTAATAATAAAATAAAATATATTTTTTATATATCAAATAGCTTCACAACAGAAGTTTAAACGGTCATAAAAGTCTCATATGCAATTTGTTTTATTTATAAACAATAATCAACAAACAGTATAGGCGGTTTACTCAGCTTGGAAATATTTTGACAGTGTCATTATCAGAAACATAACAACAAAAATGCCTACCACACCTTATAAATTCTTCTTTAATTGAAAAAAAAATAATCATGAATAATGGTAGTGTCTATTCATTAATTTTCAATTCAAACCTTTAATTTGTAAATACCACTAAAATGCAATGAAAATACCAAACAAGTACTAAAAAAATTAGATCCTAGGACTCTTTGATGCTTTAATAAGATCTCGCAGACTATGGTTCCTTCTTATTTAGACTTATAACTCAGAAATGTATTACTTAATAAACTTAACACAGTATTTTTGAAAGCTTAAGAATTTTCTTAGGTTGTAAGAAATCTACCCTTCACTTGTCTCTACTAGCGGAATCGGCGCATATGATTTAAAACATAGAACTTTAATCTTAGCCATTTCATCCCTCCGTATTTCCCATCATCTTCACGATCCTCTCTCTTACAGTCACAGGGTTCATACCTATTTCTTTATACATTCTGATTCTCTTCACTGTAAATCTATTACACTCCAGCATTGTGTGAGTAACAATGTCGGACTTTTCGCAGTATAGACATTTATCTGTATCTGTCTTTCTGAACCTATGAAGATACGCCCTAAAACAAACAATCTACCCAGTCCCTTAGGCTCGGGATCAGCATCTTGGTCCGCTGGGCAACATCGTCCTTGTTGTTCCACTCTTCTTGCCATCTTTCCATTGGTCTTTCCCTTTCTTATTTTTTTATAGCTATTGTCAAATGTTCTCTTACCTCATAGAGATGTCTCTTTTCTACTGCTAACACAAGCAGAGGAACACAACCCGTGATAGTCCACAAGTTACATTTTCCTACCATTCTTTATATATTTTTTACTATGCCCTGGGTGGGGGGTTTAACCCCCAAACCCCCCTGGGTGCGCCACAGTATATAGTATTCGTATATTTAATATTATATCAAACAGTATTTATTAAATATCGTGACTGAATGGATACACAATCCAAAGCTAATAAAAAAAAATTTACAAACATTAGTAAATAAATTAAAAGGATTACCTATTTTGAGGATGTGAACTTTTGAGAGAATTTCGATATTTATTAATAAATACATTTATCTGTTCTTTAACCGCAAAGTGATTTATTTCTCGCTTTTAACAATTTTTTTCTACCAAACTTTTTATGTATGAATTAGGAATAAAAAGTTTTTAAAATCTGCAAAATATATAAGTAGGGTGTCCCATTTAAATTAAATAGGCTTCGGGTATTTCCGTTGAAACCACAAGTACTTAGTAAAAAAATATATGGCATCAGATGCATTATGCGCCATTGTAGTTGCATGCAACGTTTCACTAATTGCGTCTTTTTTGTTTCAAAGATATTTATTTGGTTCCATACTTTATCCCAACACTGTATATACTGGAGGATGTTTCTGTCAATAAACTTTCTGTCGGTTTCGACCTTTCCACCATCATCCTTTCAGCTGCCATCCAGCAAAATGATTCTCTTCAGGTTTTGTTCCCACCAAAAGCAAAATGTGCACTTGCATTTGTCTTGATGTTCTTCACACCCTTTATGTGGTGCTATTCTATGCATGCGTTAATTAGGAATGAATGGGTATAGAGGAATGTATACATACTTTACACTCTTGTGTATACAGGGTGTGCACATTTAGTTCAATTAACAATATGGTGAATCTGTTAAATCAATGTATTCTTACAATCATGTTAGCTGTAATGTTTATTAAATGATTATTAAGTAAGTACTGTTTGTTTTGATTTTTTCTAGATTTTTACATTGTTTTTCTAGATTTCAACCATTATAAAAGTAATCTATATTAAAATCAATTGTGGATTATTCCCATAACAATATAATATGCAAACATGTACAGAATAATTAATATAGGTCTATAAAAATATTCATAAATATTTATTAAAAGTTTCTATAAATTCCACAGTATAAAATACCAACTTTAACTGGTTTAAATATATTAAGTACTATTGTTAGTAACAAGGTTGTATACCCTGATATATAAGAAGCGTGAACGGCAGTAGCTCAGCGGCAAGATGCCTTCTCAGATTGCATGAGTTCGAATCTGAGCACCAACAACGACGTTATTACGACGTAAAAATTATACGACACGATACGAGCCGTTCACCGTGCTTCGGAGGGCACGTAAAACCGTAGGTCCCCTGTAGGCTAGTGTACATCTACACTAGCTAGTTAAACAGGGTTAAAGGGCCGGAACAATCTGGAAGGAACTACCAGGTAAAAATGCCATATGATATTATTATTATTGTGATATGCTACTGATTTCCAGCCCCGTTGTAAGAACGTTATCAATATAATATAATATGTGGTAGGTGAACAAATCTAACAATTTTTTAGTCTTATCTTTAGACTACTCTGTAAAGTGTTCACTATAAAACTGTTGTGTTTATCTTCAAAATTGGAAAAATTTGAAACTTTTCAAGTGTTTGACACACTCAATAAAAATTCCCAAACTCTTAAAAACCTATTAAGCAAAACAAGAAAAAATATACATTAAATGTTTTATTATTATATACTTATCAGTTTCAGTTTTCTATTATCAAATAAATAGGGATTGGTCATAATATAAAAATATTATTCATACAAAATTTCCGCTTTCACCAACTATTAATGAACTGAATTAAGTATGTATATAAAATAAATTTAACCAATGCATTAGAACATAATTAATATTGTCTTTTTTAATAAACAAAATGTATAAACCAGTATTGTATAAACAAAACAAGTTCCATACAAACAATATACATACCCTAACCACAAAGCAACATATTTGTTTTCCGCTTATTTTATACATATAAAAAATGCAATGCCACAGAAAGTTATTAAGTACTTAAATGTATGAATGTTGATTAATAAATTATTAAACAAACCATAATTTCTGCATAACAATGCTCATGGTAACATGTTGTCACCATTAGAAATGATAACAAATAACAATGATAACTACAAGGGATAAATTTTTTCATAGTTTTTATGTCATTCTGTGCAAAAAAGATTCTGCATAAGTAATTGTTGTTCTTTGAAATGTACCGTTCTCAAGAAATACCGAGATAATTAATAAACCTGGTAAAAATGACAATTTGGAAAATGTAAACAAAAAGGTACTAAAACAGGAGGATCACTTGTCTACAATCCCCTGTTCAGGTATACAGATCTCCTGTTCAATATAATTTCTGGAACATATGGGAGGAAATGAGGATTAAAACCCCACATGATGCACTGAATGTACACCATGATGATCAAACCCTCAATTACCTATGCAGCAACGATTTGGTGTACTAAGATCCTTCAAACAGCTGCAAAAGACAAACTCAGAAAGGAGCAAAGCCTGTGTGTATGGGAATAACTAGTGCCATGCATATTACTTCAACAATAGCTATGGAGGCTCTACTAGGCCTGCCTCACTTGCATTTAATAATACAAGGAGAAACATAAGTTCAGCTAATGGATTAAATCCACAGTCAGGAAATTTGATGACACACACACATACATAATAAAACAATCACTGAAACTTTGCAATGAAGGGACAGGGCATATGAGTATCACAAAGACTGACGAAGGAGATTTTTAATAAGAAACCAGATCAGATGACAAAAAACATAATTTTAAGAATTCATATTAAGTAGGGTGCCCATTCCAGAGAGGAATGTATGGAGAAAAAGAGTATCATAACAAACAGGGTAAGATCTGGTATACAAATCCAAAACTACAGAGAGTGTGGGTGGAGTCCAATAATCCAAGAATTAGTGAAACCTTTGCCTTGGGGACGAAGTGCATTATTTTTCAAGCAGAGATTTATAAGATAATGCAATGTGCAAAAGGAAATAAGAGGGTTCTTAAAAACGAGCAGGTCCTTAATTGCCTAACAGTCAAGCGGCACTGGAGTGTCAGGAAGTGATGTCTAGGCTGGTGAGGGACTGCATAAAAAAACTGAATGAACTTTGAGACCAGAACAAGGTTGAGCTTGTTTGGGTACTAGGACATCAGAGAGTCATGAGCAATATTAGAAGAGAGTTCCAAAACAAACACATGAAAAAATTCTTCATTAGCGGACCATGTAGAAAAGAACAGAGAAACTGCTTCATATGGGCAGGAACAAACTGAGTAACTAGAATGTTGACTAGGTATGCACCAGCAAGAAAATTCCTGAATAAAATGGGCATTTACAATGGAGACCTTAACTGCAGACTCTGTGACAAGGAACTAGAAACTGTAAAACATGTAGGTATTATATTATGCAATTGCGAGGCTCTGAACTGTAAAAGACAAAAACTTCATAAGAAACCAACCCTGGTATATTTAGGACACACCAAGCAAAAGACCTGTACAAACTCCTACAGGGTTCAAAAACTCTAGACTGAGTGTAGGAAACAACAATAGGCCAGCAAACACAATAAGCCTCAAATTCAGTGATAATGAAGATCTTTTGGATCAGACGGGCTAATTATAAATATTTCGGAAATAAATAAGATATAAACTAAAAAAAATAGAGCTACAAATGTGAATTTAGTTTTAAAAGTGATCATGAGAAGAAAGACTTTTTTAATTAAAAGTATTAATGCAAATATGTCTAGATATGAATTAAAATACTCATATGTGGTTTATAGATTTGGAAAATGCATTTGATAGGTAAGGTCCTTTGC